AAGTATGGGGCCTACCATAAATTAATTGATGAGCTGAGAATCTGAGAATCAATCCCACCAATTTAAAAATTGTATTCGTATGTTAGTGGTACACCTTCAGGAACTGTTATTACAAAATTAAAAAGCAGGATACTCATTTATGTGCCACAATATAATAAAACTCGCACGTTTACTCGTCAAAATATCGAAACGAAATGGAAAGTTTGCGAGAACTTGGCGAGCTGCACGTTTGCCTGTTTAGACTGGCAAGAAAAGTGTCGCAAGAATTCTTTCGCGAGTTCTGTCAAATGGACTCGCAATGCTATTTACACTTAAGACAGTAGTGTCCGACAGTAAATCGCGCGAGTTTTCTTTCTAGTCTAAAGGCGCCTTTAGCCTCCTCCCATTCCATGCCTTGATCTCGAAGTATTCTTGCTACTTAGGTACATATCCTATGTTGTCTTTATGCTTCCCCTTTTCTTCCTATTTTGAATTCTGGTGTTCCATATGTGTGGATTTTTGTGATTCGTTCAGCACCCAACTGTTTCTCTTCCGTAAGTCAATATTGGTCTCCAATGTTATTGCTTTAAGTAGATTTCATTAACTATTTCTAATTAACTGTTACAGTACTTACAGAAATAGTTTCTTTCTATCGCCTTTGGCATATTCTAGGAATTCATACCTATGTAGGTACTTGAAATGTAGATGTCAACAAAATTCATCTTGATAACACGACATTAACATAACATGAGGCGGCTCCGTTGGGCTCTCCGTTAACTTAGCACCACCATTTCAAATTTTTGACTAAAGACAGATTGCGCTAGAATCTCTATGGCTAGCGCCAGCTAGCGCCACTTTGAGTTCAGCTAGCGCCATTATAGATTTTGCAGAAAAGCCCTTGACTTTCGGGGGGTGCTATGTTAACGCTAGCACCACCATTGCGTCCGATCATTTCCAAAAGCAAGCGCTGTGTTCGTCAGACCTAGCGCCAGCTAGCGCCACAAATTTTAGAGCTAGCGCCACCCCCCAATAGTGAGGGGAGCAATTTTTCCTAGCACCACCATTTTGTCTTTTCATGTAAAATTTTGACGTTTTGTGTTCTGCTGACCTAGCGCCAGCTAGCGCCACTTTGAGTTCAGCTAGCGCCATTATAGATTTTACAAAAAAGCCTTTGACTTTCGGGGGGTGCTATATTAACGCTAGCACCACCATTGCGTCCGATCATTTCCAAAAGCAAGCGCTGTGTTCGTCAGAGCTAGCGCCAGCTAGCGCCACAAATTTTAGAGCTAGCGCCACCCCCCAATAGTGCGGGGGGCATTTTTTCCTAGCACCACCATTTTGTTTTTTCGGGTAAAATTTTGACGTTTTGTGTTTTGCTGACCTAGCGCCAGCTAGCGCCACAAATTTTAGAGCTGCCATCACCCTCCAATAGTGTGGGGGGAGGGGGTACCACAATTTTGTCTTTTCGGGTAAAAATGTAATGTTTTCTGTTCTGTAGACCTAGCGCTCAAGTTAACCTAGCGCAATTATAAATCCGAGTTTATAATTTTGCGGTGTCTGCCCGTCTGTTCGTTAGCACGATATCTTGATAACGATAACGAATTGACCGTTTACGATGAAATTCTGTAGATGGACTCTTTATCAAATTTGTAGATCGGAGTTCGTGAATTGGTAATGTAGACCAAAAAATAAAGTAAGCACTTTTGACATCTCTGAACCGAATTGTATGAAATTCAATATGTGTATAGCTTTAGCCATATAAAACGCAATTCCAAAAGTTGAGCTTAATCGATCAACATTCACAGTGCTCTTTTCGCATCTCGACCATTTACAAACCGGATTGAAAACTTACTTATTTATGGAAGCATTTAAAAGAAATTTGATACATAGCCACTTGGAATAAAAGCAAATTTAACCCCAGTTTCAAAATTTGGTTTTGTGCATGATGTGTGGTGCCAATTTTCTTATTTATGGAAGCAATTAAATGAAATTTCATACATATACACTTTAAATAAAAGCAAAACTAACACCAAGTTCAAAATTTGGTTTTGCACATGCTGTAGCCTTACCCAGGAGCTCGTTTTCTATATTTATTTACACGTCGCTGCGAAAAGGGCACTGTAGTACGTCGGGTACATGGCTAGAATGGGGAAAATACTGCACTTTTTGATTGGAATATGCCACTTTCTGTGGTAATAGTTAATACCAAAAGGCAACTTTTGAGATAGGGAGCCACTCGAAAATCCGTGCAGGAAACCAAAATGGTGGCCGTCAAAATGGCGCCATTACCCGCAATATATTTTTCTGTATCTCTGCTCCTAATAGTCCGATCTTAATTTTCTTTTTTTTATTGAAAGCTCTTGTGACGAGGAAACTTTTTTGCTATATAACATTTATCTCTAAAACTTAAGGATTTAGCACAATTTTTAAAAAAGTGTTTTTTTACGAATTTGAATCACAAGTAAGCTTTTAATTGTGCAATATCCCGGTCTTTTCGACAAAAAAGGCTATCTTTTAGAAATTCAATCGATACAACCCCAAAACTCCTTGTATCTACCCTGCAAGTTCGGAAAATTTCAATCCGCCATGTTTTTTTTTGAAAAAATGCGCAATATTTGTTTCATCAGGCACGAAATCAAGCATTCTGAAAATTGAAAGGAAAAGCCTCGTCAATTTTTTTCTCTGAAAAACAGAAAATACACTCTGCTTTTAAAGAAACACTCAGTATAGCTGGCAGTATAGCAACTTTAACTCTTACTCTCGCTCTTATTTTACTTAACTAGTTGGTTTAAGCTACAACGAATGTGAAAATTGGAGTGCTTATTTATCAGATCATGGGTTTTTTCGATGGTTTTCTCTCGGGTTTTCTTTAAGAATATTAACGGAATATTATGATTTCCAAGTTTTAGATACCTATTCATATAAGTTGAATCATTTTTATTATACAGGGAATCCACCTTCTGTAAGCGGACGATAGAGCCTCAATGGTTGAGATTAATGGTAACGGTTTGTTGGTACGAGAAGCCTGAGGGGAAGCCTAAAACGTATTTTTAGGTATATAGGGTGTTCTCGAGGGCAGCCTATACATTTTGATATTTTTTATAGGTATCCCCGGGTATCCCTTAACAAAAGAATTATTTTTGTAGGTCTTATCGGTTTTTTTTTCGTAATGCTAACCGCGAGGCTAACCGTTTTCCGGATATGCTTTTTATACAGGGTAAAAATTTTATCTTCAAATCATTTTTTAAAGAAGCTTTTTATGACATCCATAATTATAAAAAGTTTGCTACCAATCCACGTACATTCAATTTGGGGTCAGTAGCATACTTCTACACAGTCAAAGGGGACATACTGTTTTTAAATAGCAACCACTATTTTCTTGACGTAGTGAATTATTTGTCGATACAAATATTCTATTTTGGGACCTTTGCTGTTTCTGATTTTTATAAATGATCTGCCTTCTCAGTTTAGTAACTGTCAATCTTTACTTTTCGCGGATGACCAAAAAATATTTATGCCTATAACCAGTATTTCTGATTGTTTAAATCTTCAAAATGATCTTAATAAATTGTATCAGTGGCGCCGTTTGAATAAATTACCTCTAAACATAAAAAAGTGCAATGTATTATCGTTTTAGCGCAAGAAGAGTACACTCTTTTTTAATTATGAAATTAACGGGTTAAGTTTGGAACGTGTAACTTCCATAAAGGATCTTGGAGTAACTTACGATGATAAAATGAACTTTAATAAACACATAAATATTACAGTGGCTGGTGCATACAAAACTTTGGGTTTTATTGTGAGGCAAACCAAGAATTTCAAAAACATAAGTACAGTTAAACGACTTTATTTTACATTAGTTAGACCAAAGCTTGAATATGCTAGCACAGTTTGGCATCCAAACACGTGTAATTCAATAAAAGCAATTGAAAAAGTCCAAAATAAGTTTTTACGATTTCTCTATTATAAAAAATTTGGCACTTATCCTAACTATAACAGTGTTAGATCGGTTGATCTAAGGAAAGTTTTTGAAATCCAAAGCTTAGTGAATAGGAGAAATATACTGTAATATTTAACATTTTTTCCAAACAATTAATAAAACATTATGATTTCAATTAAGGATAAAAGAAAAAAATTAGTAGGGCTTCTTACACCCCAACAATATCATATTTTTTTAATTTTTTGTATGCGAAAGTTTGTATCATTTTTTAGTTGAATGTCATTATTAGATTATATACTTATTATTCAGCAACCCTTCATTAATAGATAATAGATACCTGCTACGTAATTAGGGCTGTGCCCTGTGTAGTTTGTAACAATAAATAAATAAATAAAACTCGTTTTTCAAATAATTGAATTTTAATATTTCTTTAGCTAATCGACTTCGAATCGTATAGACCGATTCATCATCAGACCTTAAGAGTCAGAATATTGTGCTGAATAATACAAATCCTTACATATTAACATTTGACGTGGACAAGTTACACATAAAAATCGGGTTGAGCTTACTTGTGATTCAAATTCGTAAAAAAAAACACTTTTTTAAAATTGTGCTAAATCCTTAAGTTTTAGAGATAAATGTTATATAACAAAAAAGTTTCCTCGTCACAAGAGCTTTCAATAAAAAAAAGAAAATTAAAATCGGACTATTAGGAGCAGAGATACAAAAAAATATATTGCGGCTAATGGCGCCATTTTGATGGCCATCATATTGGTTTCCTGCACGGATTTTCGAGTGGCTCCCTATCTCAAAAGTTGCCTTTTGGCACAGAAAGTGGCATATTCCAATCAAAAAGTGCAGTTTTTTTTTGGCGTACCCAACGT